GTTTCTTTAACCAGTCATCTGTTCTTGGGCACTCAGGTTTCTTCCAGTTTCTGGCTATTGTAAATAGTGCTGCAATGAACAAACAAGTGCAGATGTCACTTCGACTACACATTTTTGCCTCTCTGGGGTATATTCCCAGGAGTGGTATCGCTGGGTCAAATGGGAGCTCAATTTCTAATTTTTTGAGAAACGTCCATACTGTTTTCCAAAAGGGCTGAACTAGTCGACATTCCCACCAACAGTGAAGGAGTGTCCCTTTCTCGCCACATCCACGCCAGCATCGGTTGCTTTTGTTCTTTTGAATGTGGGCCAGTCTCTGAGGTGTGAGATGGTATCTCATTGTGGTTTTGATCTGCATCTCCCTGATGATTAATGATGTAGAGCATTTTCTCATGTGCTTTTTTGCCATTCGGATTTCTTCTTTGAGAAAGTTTCTGTTCATTTCATTGCCCCATTTTTTGATGGGGTTGGATGTTTTCTTCTTGTGGAGTTCCACCAGTATTTTGTATATCCTTGTTATCAACCCCTTGTCAGATGTGTATTCGGTGAATATCCTTTCCCATTCTGTAGACTGTCTTTGTATTTTGGTCACTGTTTTTTTGGAGGTGCAGAAGCTTCTTAGTTTAAGATAGTCCCATTTATCTATCTCTGTTTTTACTTGCTCAGCCAGTGGCGTGGCATCTTTGAAAGTACCATTAGCCTCAATGTCATGGAGGGTTTTGCCAACTTTGTCTTCAATGTACCTTATGGTGTCTGGTCTGATGTTGAGGTCTTTAATCCATTTTGATCTTATTTTTGTACATGGTGTTAGGCAGAGTTCTGAGCCCATTTTTTTGCATGTAGCCGTCCAGTGATGCCAGCACAATTTGTTAAAGAGGCTTTCCTTACTCCACTTCACATTTCTTGCACCTTTATCAAAGATTAGATGATCATATGATTGAGGGGAGATGTCAGTGTTGCCCTCAATTCTTATTCCATATGGAATACAGTTTGAGAAGGGGAAGTAAGTTTGTAGAGGTCTTTTATTCAGTTATAAAAAAAAGAAAAAGAAAACAAAAATACCTTTTCCCTTTTAGCTGTGTAATCCCTATGTCCCTGTCTCTTTCTGACTGCTGAGATTTATTGAGGAGATCGGACTAAAAACTACATTGTAAAGTTAAGAGCCAAATGTCCATCTAATCAGATTTATGGTGGAGTGATTTTGGGTTTGGGTTTTTTTTTTCTGGTTTTTTTTTTGAGGGGAGGGAGACATATCCAGCTCTTAGGTTGGTGCTGAGGAGTTGCTCCTGGTGATGCTCTGGAGGACATATGGTGCCAGAGATAAACCCCAAACCATGAAAGTTTGCACCGCATCCCTTTCCTCTCTTTTCAGATCCCTAATCAAAATTCTTTCATTTGGGTGGATATGGGAGTTGGTTAAGAAGGTTGGGGACCACAGCTCGCTGTGTTCATAAGCTCCCCCTGGTTCTGTGCCAAGAGTGACCCTGGTGGTGCTTTGGAGACCATATGTGGTATCAGGGATTTGAACCAGAGTAAGCCACAGGCAATGCCAGCACCTTAATTCTCTATTATCTCTCTGGAGGAGCCTAATCAACATTCTTTTTTAGAATTTTTTTAATTTAATTTTTGGGCCACACCCTCACCCAGCCATGCTCAGGGATTACTCCTGCCAGTGTTCAGGGGACTATCTGAGATGCTCTTGTGCAAGGTAAACGCCCTGCCGACTGTACTATCTCTCAGTCCCCACCAACATTCTTATGATACATTTTTCTTTAATCTCTTTCTTAGTTTACATTCTTTTCCCACCTTGAGCAGTTACTACTCTGATAAGTCGCAGAGTTCAAAATAAACATTTTTCTTCTTCAGACATAATGTTAGAAATTATCTAAACTTATTTTAGAAATTATGTATGTTCATCAAGATGAAATTCTTTACTACTTTTAAATTGTTAATATTTTGCAAATATTCTGCTACTGAAAATAACCAGCCTATTACAGTGGTAAATGAACCAGAATTTGCATTGGATGGACGAGAAAGAGCTAATCAGGATTCCATGTTAACTTGTTCCTAAACTTTAAACTCTGAAATGTTTTCTTTTATCAATGCAGTGATGATATTTTAATGGAGCGATAACACAGCGGGTAGGGCGTTTGCCTTGCACGCAGCCAACATGGCCGACCCGAGTTCGATTCCTCCGCCCCTCTCGGAGAGCCCGGCAAGCTAAGGAGAGTATCTTGCCTGCACGGCAGAGCCTGGCAAGCTCCCCGTGACGTATTCGATATGCCAGACACAGTAACAACAAAGTCTCCAATGGAGACGTTACTGGGCCCGCTGGAGCAAATCGACGAACAACGGGAGGGCCTTTTAGTATGCGACCATTACACAGAATGAGGTGTGCCCTTGCTATTGGCATGGATTATGTACAAAATAAAATTTTAGTGAAAAAGAAGTAGAATGCAGAACGCTTCCGGGGGCGGGGGGGGGGTGAGCCTTCAGGGTGAAGAGAACCCAAGTATAACACTTGGAGCTCAGAATGAACACAATCTCTCCGGAGCCAGAGAAACTACTGAGAAAAGGAAGCTCGACCCGCTCAGCGCTTGCGCAGGGTTTTGCGGTCTATCCTGCCCTCTGCTGGTGAGAAGGCGGTTTGCACAGCATCTTGGAACATCTCTGGAAGAGTCTTGTGAATTCCAGGGAAAAAACCTAGAAAGGCAGGCTGGAGTTACCTACAGCTTAAGAAAGATTGAATGTCAGGATAGTAGATACACGGGACAGGTAGACTGCTCCATAGCTAGAAGCCTGCCTCATGAACAAAGGGGAGAAGGCAGCTAGAATAGAGAAGGGGATCATTAAGAAAATGAAGGCTTGAGGAACTGGTCGGGATGGGAGATGTGTGCAGAAAGTAGATAAAGGACCAAATGATAACCTCTCAGTGTCTGTATTGCAAACCATAATTCCCAAAAGTAGAGAGAGAATATGGGGAATATTGTCTTCCATGGAGGTAGGGGGAAGGTGGGAGATGTGGGCTATACTGTGGATATTGGTGAAGGGGAATGTGCACTGGTGGAGGGATGGGTGTTTGATCATTGTGTGATTGTAATCCAAACATGAAAGCTGTTAACTATCTCACAGTGATTCAATAACATTTTTTTAAAAAATTTTAAAAGAGAAGGTGAATAATTGGGGCGGGGGGAGAAAGGTTAGATGTAACTAATATCGAAAAGAACACGAGGCTACAGAATCTTCCCAAGTAGACTGTTCTGAGCTGACAATTCTGGGGCCTTCTTGGAATGGGGGCGAGGAGAATCCCCTTCTCCTTTCCCTCCCCCCACCCCCTCTGAGGAACAGCAGCTGGCAGCCACACCCAATATTCTCTTGACAAAGAAACGGTTCAGCTCCACAAGGGAACCTCATCCAGCTGCCAAGCAACCAAATCATTCCAGCTCCAGATCTCCTGAACCATGCAGCCACATATGACACCTCCAAATTTCACAGTACTCTCAGCCCAGGAGGATTACAGCAAATCTGATGGGAAAGTTGCATGGAAGAACACCAAGCTCAATGAGCCCATATAATAACACCAGAGGTGACTACTTGCTTCAGCAAAGTCCTGTGTGGAATACACAGTTGTAGTTTTTCCTTGTTCCCTGCATGCATTTACCTTTGCTAGGCCCTGGCTTGAGAACCACACAGAGCAGAGTTAGGAATAATATGACCAGAAGGGTGTCAAGTATCTGTTGGCAGGGGCTGGATACAGTAGGTGTGGGTGGGGGAGGAGACTGACTAGGCACTACCCCATTACCTACCAGCAATGACAGAAACAAGACTTTCTTTTTGTTTGTTTGTTTTTCTGTTTTGTTTTGTTTTACTTTTTATTAGTGAAACACCATGAGGTACAGTTGTAGACTTACAAATTTTTGTGCTTGGGTTTCAATTATACAATGATCAAATACCCATCCCTCCACCAGTGCCCATTCTTCACCACCATGGATCCCAGTATCCCTCCCACCCTCCTTCCCCCCATTCCATCCTGCCTCTGTGGCAGGGCATTCGCTTTTATTCTCTCTCTCCTTTTGGGTGTTGTGGTTTGCAAAAGAGGCATTGAGTGGCAATCATGTTCGGTCTATAGTCTACTTTCAGCATGCTTCTCCAATCCTGGGAGGATTCTCCCAACACCCTTTATTTAGTGCTCCCTTCTCTATCTGAGCTGCCTTTTCCCCTAGCATGTGTGGCTGGCCTCCAAGCTATGGAGTAAACCTCCTGGTATTAATCTCAGCTATTCTTGAGTGTTAGTCTCCTATTTTGTACTTTATGTTCCCCAGATGAATTCAATCTTTCTGTCTATCCCTCTCTTTCTGACTCATTTCGCTTAGCATGATACTTTCCATGTAGTACCACTTGTATGTATATTTCATGACTTCATCTTTTCTAACAGCTACATAGTACTCCATTGTATGGATGTACCAAAGTTTCTTTAACCAGTCATCTGTTCTCGGGCACTCAGGTTTTTTCCAGATTCTGGCTATTGTAAAGAGTGCTGCAATGAACAAACAAGTGCAGATGTCACTTCAACTATACTTTTTTGCCTCTCTGGGATATATTCCCAGGAGTGGTATTGCTGGGTCAAATGGGAGCTCAATTTCTAATTTTTGGAGAATTGTCCATACTGTTTTCCAAAAGGGCTGAACCAGTCGGCATTCCCACCAGCAGTGAAGGAGAGTCCCTTTCTTGCCACATCCCCGCCAGCACCGGCAACAAGACTTTCAATCCTATATTCAATGGAACCTGGGGTAATGTGTTAGACAGCCCAGCAGAAGCCCAGTAGGCGTTAGGCAAACCTGGCCCTTATCAACCCAAATAACTCTTTTTTCCCAGTTTATTTCTTTTTCCATGGGTCCTATAGAGAAGAGGTCCACTATTTTCCCTTTCCACCATATAGAAGAGCAATGGCTAAGAAGGAGCAGTCTAACAAGAAGTCTTGTTATAAAGATATTTCCTGAGTGGGTTGAGAATCGCCTGCTGCTCTGACTTTGGCCATGGGTGAGATTTGGTGCCAGAGCCAGTTGGATCTCACCACCCCACCCACTCTATAGCAGGCAGAGGTGAAACCCAGACCATGGCCTGCAGCCAGACTGGCCCTGAGCACTGTCTGTAACCTCTGACCTCAGCCCCCTCTCCTGCCAGCAGGATGCCTGGAGACCCCAGAGCCCAAGATTCAGACTCTGCTCCCCCCTGCCCTACTTTCAATAAACTTATAGATAAAATTTTTAAAGTGGGGGGTGCTGGAGAGATAGCTCAAAAAAATGAGGGCCTGGAGCGACAGTACAGCAGGTAGGACACTTGCTTTGCATGCTGCCAGTCCAGGTTTGATCCCTAGCACTCCATGTGGTCCCCCAAGCTCACCAGGAGTGATTCCACACAACAGAGCCAAGAGTAAGCTCTGAGCATCTGTGGATGAAACCCAAAAACAAAAACAAAAAAGAGATCAGAGTCCACGATTTCCATGAACCCCAGGCTCAATTCCCAGCACTTCACAGTTTCCAGCTCAGAAGTAGCTGTTAAGTATCCCCAGAAACTGTCCAAACCACAAAAAGAAAGTCTAAGAGAGTTAAACTTCTCCATGTTACAGACTCTGTTTTCTAGGAAGGAGCAATAGGTAAGTAATTTAAGCTGATAGTTCTCAGCAGATATAACATTTCTGGAACAGTAAAACTCAAAATGATCCTCTCACAGCCCTTCAGATTTGCCAAACCTGTTCTCCACAACTTCTTTCCTTAAGCTCTGACTGGAAAGTGTCCCACAAGAGGAGGGAAGTTGTACTGACCCAGCACAGCTCAAGGTCAGCATATAATGAAAACGTCCTCACTTGGCTTTGTTTTAAGAAACTGTTTCAACTCAGGGTCAGTTTTTTTCTCTAAAAGGTGTGGCCCGAGTTTCTATACTATCTCTCCCCTTTCCCAATAGGAGTTTTCCTCTCTTGCCTTCTCATCTACCACACACACCCATTTTTCTGAAGGACAGTTAAAGACTCTTAGATGCCTCCAGACCTCGCGCCAGGCTGTTTCATCCGAGGCAACCCAGAGGGGGAAGAGTGAGTTCCCCTCTCTGCCCCAAAGGAGCAGCTCTGGCAGCCAAAAACTTCCAGAACTCAACTGCTGCCATACTCATGGTTGGTCTCCACACACTTGGATGTGCCTCACCCCTGAGTGACACTATTCCTGGACAGCACCGCCGCATTTGTGGCTGCGCGGCATCTGATACTTTATACCACTGATATACCAAGAGTAGCATACCACATTTGATGGGGTTTAAAGTAGAAGGCAAACAATCTTGGGGGAAATATGTTTATACAGATATAGATATAAGCACACAAGAATCAACCTTTAACAACATGTTACTAATTTCTTTTTTTTTCTTTTTTTATTAGTGAAACACCATGAAGTACAGTTATAGGCTTACAAATTTTGTGCTTGGGTTTCAGTTATACAATGATCAAGTGCACATCCCTCCACCAGTGCCCGTCATCCATCACCACAGGTCCCAGCATCCCCCCCCACCCCCTATCCCCCCCGTCCCATCCTGCCTCTGTGGCAGGGTATTCCCCCTTGTTCTCTCTATCTTCTTTTGGGTACTGTGTTTTGCAAAAGAGGCTTTGAGTGACAATCATGTTTGGTCTATAGACTACTTTTAGCATGCTTCTCCCATCCTGGGAGGGTCCTCACAACACCCTTCATTTGGTGCTCTCTTCTCTATCTGAGCTTCTTTTCACCTAGAACGTGTGGCTGGCATTCCATTCATGGAGCAAAATTCCTGGTACTAATCTCAGCCATTCCTGGGTGTTAATCTGCCTTTTTGTTGCTCTATGTTCCCCAGATGAACGCAATCTTTCTGTGTATATCCCGCTCTTTCTGACTCATTTCGCTTAACATGATACTTTCCATGTAGTACCACTTGTATGTAAATTTCATAACTTCATCTTTTCTAACAACTACATAGTGCTCCATTGTGTAAATGTACCAACGTTTCTTTAACCAGTCATCTGTTCTTGGGCACTCAGGTTTTTTCCAGATTCTGGCTATTGTAAATAGTGCTGCAATGAACAAACAATTGCAGATGTCACTTCGACTATACTTTTTTGCCTCTCTGGGATATATTCCCAGGAGTGCTATAGCTGGGTCAAATGGCAGATCAAATTCTAATTTTTTGAGAGTCGTCCATACTGTTTTCCAAAAGGGTTGGACCAGCCGGCATTCCCACCAGCAGTGAAGGAGGGTCCCTTTCTCGCCACATCCGCGCCAGCACCGGTTGCTTTTGTTCTTGTAGATGTGGGCCAGTCTCTGTGGTGTGAAATGATATCTCATTGTGGTTTTGATCTGCATCTCTCTGATGATTAGTGATGTAGAGCATTTTCTCATGTGCCTTTTTGCCATTCGAATTTCTTCTTTGCGAAAGTTTCTGTTCATTTCCTCACCCCATTTTTTGATGGGGTTGGGTGATTTCTTCTTGTGGAGTTTAACTAGTACCTTGTATATCCTTGATATCAACCCCTTGTCGGATATGTACTTGGTGAATATCCTTTCCCATTCTGTAGGCTGTCTTTGTATTTTGGTCACTGTTTCTTTTGAGGTGCAGAAGCTTCTTAGTTTAAGATAGTCCCATTTGTCTAGCTCTGTTTTCACTTGCTCGGCCAGTGGCGTGACATCTTTGAAGATACCATTAGCTTCAATATCATGGAGAGTTTTGCCGACTTTGTCTTCAATAAACATTATGGATTCTGGTCTGACGTTGAGGTCATAAATCCATTTTGATCTTACTTTTGTGCATGGTGTTAGGCAGAGATCTGAGCCCACTTTTTTGCATGTAGCCGTCCAATTTTGCCAGCACAGTTTATTGAAGAGGCTTTCCCTGCTCCATTTCACTTTTCTTGCCCCCTTATCAAAGATTAGATGATTATATGTTTGGGAGGAAATGTCAGTATATTCAACTCTGTTCCATTGGTCTGCAGCTCTGCTTTTGTTCCAGTACCATGCTGTTTTAATTATTACTGCCTTGTAGTAGAGTTTGAAGTTAGGGAGGTTGATTCCTCCCATTTTCTTTTTTCCAAGAATTGCTTTAGCTATTCGTGGGGGCTTATTGTTCCATATAAATTTCAGGATTGTTTGCTCCATTTCTTTGAAGAATGTCATGGGTATCCTTATAGGGATTGCATTGAATTTGTACAGTGCTTTGGGAAGTATTGCCATTTTGATGATGTTGATTCTCCCCATCCGTGAACAGGGGATATTTTTCCATTTCCTCGTGTCCTCTTTTATTTCCTGAAGTATCGTTTTGTAGTTTTCTTTGTACAGGTCCTTTACTTCCTTAGTTAAGCTGATTCCTAGATACTTGATTTTCTGGGGCACAATTGTGAATGGGATTGTTTTCTTGATGTCACTTTCTTCTCTTTCACTATTTGCGTATAGGAATGCCATGGATTTTTGGGTATTGATTTTATAGCCTGCCACTTTACTATACAAGCCTATTGTTTCTAGGAGTTTCTTGGTAGAGGTTTTAGGGTTCTCTAAGTATAGTATCATGTCATCTGCGAATAGTGAGAGCTTAATTTCTTCTTTCCCTATCTGGATGCCCTTAATATCTTTTTCTTGCCTAATCGCTATTGCAAGTACTTCCAGTACTATATTGAACAGTAGTGGAGAGAGTGGGCATCCTTGTCTCGTCCCTGATCTTAGGGGGAAGGGTCTCAGTTTTTCCCCATTGAGGATGATGTTTGCTGTAGGTTTGTGGTAGATGGCTTTAACTATATTGAGGAAGGTCCCCTCTATCCCCATTTTGGCAAGGGTTTTCATCATGAATGGGTGCTGGATCTTGTCAAAAGCTTTCTCTGTCTATTGATATGATCATATGATTTTTATCTTTTCTTTTGTTGATATGATGGATTATGTTGATTGATTTCTGAATGTTGAACCATCCTTGCATCCCTGGGATGAATCCCACTTGGTCATGATGTATGATCTTTTTGATGAGTTGTTGTATTCTATTGGCTAGTATTTTGTTGAGAATCTTCGCATCCGTGTTCATCAGGGATATTGGCCTGTAGTTTTCTTTTCTTGCGGTGTCTTTGTTTCCTTTTGGTATTAGAGAGATATGGGCTTCATAGAAGCTGTTTGGGAGAGTTTCTGTTTTTTCAATTTCCTGGAAAAGCTTGAGAAGAATTGGCAATAGGTCCCTTTAAATGTTTGGAAAAAATCGCTAGTAAATCCGTCTGGGCCTGGGCTTTTGTTTTTGGGAAGACTTTTGATTACAGTTTCAATTTCCTTGATGTGAATAGGTCTATTCAGGTACTCTATATCTTCTTGATTCAGCTTTGGGAGATGGTAGGAATCCAGGAATTTATCCATTTCTTCTAGGTTCTCTTGTTTCGAGGCATACAGACTTTCAAAGTAGTCTCTGATGATTTCTTGAATTTCTTTAGTTTCTGTTGTGATATCCCCATTCTTATTTCTGATTCTATGTATTAGGGTTCTCTCTCTCTCTGTTTCTTTGTGAGTATTGCTAGTGGTTTATCTACCTTATTTATTTTCTCGAAGAACCAGCTCTTGGTTTCATTGATCTTTCGGATTGTTTCTTTGTTTTCCATGTCGTTGATTTCTGCTCTAAGTTTTATGATCTCTTGCCTTCTGCCTGATTTAAGCTCTTTCTGTTGATCCTTTTCTAAGGTCTTGAGCTGTGAGGTCAAATTGTTTATGTGCATCGTTTCTATCGACTTAAGATATGCTTGCAGAGCTATAAATTTTCCCCTTAATACAGCTTTCGCTGCATCCCATAAGTTCTGGTAGTTTGTGTCTTCATTCTCATTTGTTTCCAGGTATCTTTTGATTTCATCCTTGACTTCATTCCTGACCCACTCATTGTTCAGCATCGAGTTGTTTAATTTCCAGGTGTTTGATTTGATTATCCGTGTCTTTGTGTGATTCACTTCTATCCTCAGTGCATCATGGTCTGAAAAGATGGCTGATACTATTTCTATCTTCTTGATTCTGTTGAGGTATGTTTTGTGTCCTAGCACATGGTCTATTTTGGAAAATGTTCCGTGCGTGCTGGAGAAGAATGTGTATTCTTTCTTTT